ATTTTTGAAGCACGATAAATGGTTATCGTTCTTCCTCTCTCTCTCTCTCTCTCTGTTTTATTTTTATTTTTTATTTCTTTAAATCCAGTAAGTCGGACACTTGTAGTGGATTCAAAACTGAATTTTCCAGCAAGTAGACTTCCTTACTTCGATATTCGTTGAAGCATAACTCCTTTTCCTTTGGAAGTAAATAAAATAAAATCCTATACCCACATTTTTTTTCCACTTAGAAAATGCATTGTAGAAAATAACAAATCAACTTTTTATTATATATATAACATATTATATTATATAATATAAACTTTATTTAACTAGAATTAACTTTAGCTTTGTTATCTGAACTTCAAAGAAAATATTTATGAAACGAAATTTTTATATTTCTGTTAGTAGGATATTAATATATATTTTTCTTCTCTCTCTTTATTTTTAATAACAAAACCAAGGCCGCATCAACAAGTTTTATTAAAACGAAAGTTTGTTTAGGTACGAGGTTCTAAATTTTTTTTCCTTTCTCCTTAAATTTAACTGGCTTGACATTCTCGTCATTTTTAAAACTAATATTGATCATCCTTTCTCACGATATCTAAACTTGATTTACTACGATAGTGCGTGAGGATTTTTAGGATTATTCGGTTATTTTAAATATATTAAATTGTGAAAAAATTGCTTATTATTACCATTAATTGTTGATTATTTATATAATTAAACGAGCAATTATTTATTGTGATATTGTCACAATGTCAGACTGCAATTTTTAATCACGATTTTAAATTATTTATTTCAAAATATATGCTCTCCACCTCAAATTAGTAATGTTTTGCCCCTGTAAATCATACTTTTCCGTTTGGCAATGGAGTTGTGCCGGTCATATCTAACTCTTTTCAGGGGAAAATTTTGAATTCAAATTGCAGCCCAATTATTTTTTTTCTTTAACTTTAACTTCATATAATCCGTAATTAAAACTATAATTCGGAACATTAAAACGAAATGTTTTGGCTTCCTGATAGAAATCGAATGTATCTCATTAAAGTTCGATTTATTGTCAGCATTCGTTCGCCTCTTTAATTAGCGCTAAATCGAGTGTGGCATTAAGTAAACGTGTTCAAACAATACGAATTATATATGACGATGATGTCTACAATAGCTTAAGAGTGAAAATCGTGTGATTTGGTGATAACGATGTTTTGAAATGCAAAATTATAATGCAGATAATGAAGAGTTCTCTGTGCTAATATTTATGAGAAATATCCGTTATTAAACATTCATTGGTGATTTAGGATGATTTATATGTAGGAAGGCGTTATATCGAGGTTTGATTGTAATTAGACGATTAATTAATAGAAAATGAAGATTAATAATGTTATACCCGGATGAGATACGCACCATAACTCGCACCATACTAAACAACAAATTAATCTAATTTAACCTTGTACATTTATTTAATTTTTAAAACGTTTTTGAACACTAATATAATATTTTAACGCTATAATTTATGCTTCGAGTGGCATTTTATTTCATAAAAAAATTAATTTCCCCATTAACTTTTTATGGTTTACTTCAAAAATATGCAAGTAACTTGAGTAAAGAGCGAATTTATAATATTTTATTAGCTATTTATTAAATACCGAGCAGGCTTAACAACTAACAATGAATGAATTTTTTTTCTATCTCCTGTTTACTCGATTATTCTGTTTTTCTTATATTAAAACGGGAATAAAATATTCCTAACTTAGTCGATTTCCTGTTTATAATTCTTCTACAATCGATAGATTAATTCGTATATTTTAATTTTATTTATAATTCTCTATGTCTATATTATAAGTCTGAAAGTAATTAAATTAACTGACACCATATCTGAAATTTGTCTTAGTATATTAAACTAAATTTGCATTTAATTATGAACTATATCGACTTTAATAAACTTTTTTCCTTTGAATATAGGGGACTGTTGTAAGTTAATACACGATCTCATCGTAATATAATATTCTAATAATAATAATTTGGAAAATTAATTTCGGTTGTATATTAATTTTGTACTATATCTAAGTAAATATAATATGTATTCTCTTATATAGGACCGTCGAAAGGGCCATTAGTTGTTGCTATCCCCTATAAATTAATACTATTTTTCTAATAGAAAATAAAATATTAAGAATTCATTTGTTAAATAATAATAAAAATAATAATACAAACTCTCTAAGAGCCCTTATACTTCATTCGGAAATAAGAATTTTTAAATTTATTTTTTCATAATTTACGTTGAGGTGGGTCAACGTGGTTTTAGGCATAAATTGAGTAAAAAACATAATAAAACAATAGAATTCAGCTTTATCTTTCTTTGAACTGGTTATTTTCTTTATCTGAAATCGTCAAAGAACATAAATAATTAAATAAGGATTTACATAAGTATAGATTTTATGTAAAATAAAAAATTCGATAACAATTTAAGGTATCAAAAATGTAAGAAATATTACAATATTTCATCAGTCTAAATCTTTAAAACTTAACATTATTTATATAAATTATTATAATTAAAATGTCTAGTATTAAATATTTAAAACTTTTTCCTGATTTAATAGAAAGAAACAATAAAATTTATGCTTAGAAATACTTTTTATCTATGGGGTGACCATCAATAATCTGTTATACCTGAGATAGAGCAATCATGTTGTTTATCCCCAAACTGGTATTTTAAATGAAAAAAAAAATGGTTATTTTAAAATCTGTTATATAATTGACCTATAAAATGGTTCTATTTAAAAATTTATTTTACTTTTAAGAGTTATAAACCGAAAAAATTGGGAATTGTCCCAGACAAACCGCGATGTATAGTCACCCTTAATTTTAGTATTTGAGGCAAGTCTAAGATTTGGCGCTAATGTACAGTACTTATATTTTATAAACATTATGACTCCCTTTTAGTATCCCTTCCTTCCAATTTAGCGCCTGAGTAGTTGCTTCTCTGCCTCATCTGTGGGCAGGACCCTGATCACCCTAGTTATAGGGCTTCTCTAATGTATTCATTAATGTATTTATTTCTTTGAAAAGAAAGAAATAAATTTATTTTATATGTAATTGTTATTATATTGATATCATTTATATATTACATCATTAAAACAAGAAAGTACCCTATATATATAATTATTTTTCTCTATAAAAAAACTATAAATTTACTTGTTATTTGTGTTACTCTTTTAATAAAAAAAACAACAATAAATATGTCAAAATCAATATAGAGTTATATAAATTCGAAAAATTTATGACCTAAATTCGATATTTATGTTATGTTGTACACGTAATATTCAGTTTATCGGCTAATAAACTTAGAACAAATTTTATTTATTTTGACAATCGAGCTCGTATTGGAATAATTTTTAATTAAAATCTATTGTAATTGAACTAGTTTATTAATGAACTAGAAAAGTTTAGTAGTAGTAAATTACAAAGCTTTCTACATTATCTACTATCGTAATAAAATCTAAACTAATAAATATATCCGAGTTAATCTATAATAGATTTCCTATAGGAATATTAACCTTGGGATAGAATATCATGCTATTTTTCCCTTAATATTCCATCGTTTAATCTGATTTCGCTTAGGAAATAATAGCAAGTTAATTAATTAACGATGAAATAAATGTTCTGAACTTAATTACATCTTGAATATTCTTCTTACAAAAATAAAGACAAGTTAATTTCTTCACCTGTCTTTCTGATCATCGAAAAAATGAAAGAAAAACCAGCAATTATTTATTGTCACATCGTCACAATTGCCGGACTGTAATTTTTAATCGTGTTTTTTTAATTTATTTAATTTAAAATATATGCTCTCCATCTCAAATTAGTAGTGGCTTGCCCCTGTAAATCATACTTTCCCTTTTAACAATAGAGTCGTGCCGGTCATCTTTCCGGGGAAAATTTTTGAAGTGAAATAACGTGACTTCCGATTTGCGTTGGAATTTCGTATATTAGTTAATCGGGGCATCCTGCACCTAATGTTTCCATAGCTGATCTCATCTTTCGTCTATCTAATTCCGTTCTCGAGATTAAGGAAAGAGATGGATAGACAAATGAATGGATAGACACAGTGGGAAGTTATAGATCTACAATTTTTTTTCAAATTGTAGCTCAATAAACTTTTTTTTTGTATCATTTGAAATTTCTATCGTACATATTTTATCTGTTTCTAGTATATCCAAGGTAAAATAAAACCATACCAGAAGCAATATGTCAAAGAATCTCCCAATTTTTCGCATCACCAAATCCAGAAAAATCGTAGAAAACTTCTTATTCCAAAACAACTTGAAACTTTTTATTGTGTTTAGCGACAACATTTCATTGGGATTTTGTCACTTCTCAGACTTATATCATTCTTTCATCTCATTAGTTTTGCTATAAAAATCAATGGTTACGAGTGTCTTGTTCGTATAAAAAAGAAACCATTGGAACAATTTTTCAGCTATCTAAGTTCGTGTATACCCCATAAACTTTTGAAAATCCCTATTAAAAAAAAAATGCATTAAATGTGATTAACCTAGAAAGATAACGTAACAAGGGTCGTAAGTTAGTAAATTCTCTTGAAACCTTTAGAAATTAAATCTTGTATACATGTAATTTAATATTCTTTCGACGAATTTCAATTTGAAAAGGATATAACATCTGCGAATCGATTTAGAAACGAACACGACAAATCCCTCCTATCATTTATCAGTTTTAAACTCTCGAAAAACGCGTGAAGAAAATAAATTTTATGATTTTTTTATAGTAAATTAATTTGTTTTCGAATATTAAATGCCATTATATTCTTCTATTATTTTTTAATTTAATAAACTGTAATTATATGACATGGAACGGAGTCATCAGCTAGATTTGCGAAAATTGCAAACCGTCTAACTTGACAAATATAAATGACACGACTAAGTCCGGTTTTAAGATCTAAATGAATAATTTTGTTTTATTATAAAACCATTATAATGATGTTAAATTTAGAATATTCTCACCTGGAGAGTGAAGAACTGTATTGATGTGAAAGGCTCCAGCTGTTAAGACGACTGTGTAGAATCCCTGATGTTAAGATGAAACACTTATGTTAGAAAATAATATATTATACGCGATGGAAATTTAATAAAACTATTATTAATGGTGTTTAAAACTGTTTTTTTTTTATCGTTTTATTTAAATTTTTAACGGAAAAACCATTACAATATCTCTCCTAATCGCTCCTTAAATTATTTTTTACAATTTTATATCAATTAGCCTTTAATCCCTTATTTAAATATATAACACAATATACGTAGTATATAATTTTATTGAAGGGTTATTATACACTTGAAACGTTTATATGCCTCCTAAATTGCATTTCGTTCCCTATTCTTAATGGCCCTCGTTACATTTTAAATAGCATATAAGGCATTAAACCTTTCAAGTATTTGATAACCCTTCAATTAAATTATTTACTACGTATTCGTATATGTATATTGTATTATATTTTGCAATTTTATTTTATTTTCCATGCAAAAATAAAAATAAATATTACATATAACTTAAAAAATAAATAAATAAAAATAGAACTTTTATTTAAAATTATTTTAAAGTGCATGTTTCTACATAAACACATATCTTAAATGTGTTTTTAAAAGCACGATTCTCATTTCTATAAAAGATGTAGGAGAAAAAAACTTTTTTTATAAGAATTATATTATATTATTTTTTTTGAATAAATATTTAAAGAAGTTTGCCTTCTTTCTTGTAAATATTTAAAATTAATTTTCTT